CTAAGTGTAGTGGCGTGTTTAATCGTTTTTGGAAAACCAATGGAATTTCCACGAAATAATTATTAATTTTTTTTCCAATGAGAGTCCATGTGAACAATAGTCGAACTGGATGTCGGAATATTTACACAATTAGAAAATTACAATGAAATATTGATGATGGTGACTTGAAATGTAAAATCAGGCGCACTTCCGAAGGCTTCAATCGATTCATCCACATTTATGATTGCAAGACATAAAAAATTCATGTTTGCTAAACACTAGACTCCAGGCGAATGGAACGAGAGGAGGAGGAGAATGAAGAAGAAGGAGAAAAAAAGACGACTCAATTAATCGTTTCTCTTGTCTTTACTGCAGAACACAAAATTGGTGCGGGAAGTTTGTTTTACAGCAAATTAAGTATATAATTGCCGGATCATATTCACCTGACCACGTGGAAATGTGATAAATTCATACATAATTCGTAATTAGATACGTGTGTGTGTGGCGAAGGTGTTCGTGTAATCTATGAGATGGAATAGAGTGGCGGAGAAATATGAAAGGGTTTGCCAAATGATAATAATCATTGTTCGTGTCAAACCGAGTTCACTTTCATTGTGAGAATTTTCGGGTGATAGTGTAAATAGTGTGGGAATACCAAACGAAATACGAAACCGTGTTCCACAAGTTTCCGAACGCTTATTGTTTTGCCATTTTTCTCTTCTATGAAATATTTTTCCGTTCTACTAATTGAATGTACGAATTTTTGTCTAGCATTGACACGACAGAAAAAAAACGAAAATCGTCTTTGTCAAATGGCTAATGGTTTACATTTCGCTGCATAATTTACTTTCATAATTTCTTAAACAACATGAATTTGAATGAAATATTAACAACAACAACAACAACAGCGAAACAGCGACAGCAGCATGCAAAATTAGTTCATGCACATCTCGTCGAATTGACACTCACTGCTTTTTTTTCATTACTTTATCACCACAATGGAATTTATGATTTTTATGTTGCTTTTTCGATCAAATACTCTTATCAATTTTGCTATGTGAATACGATGAAAAAAGAGCTATAACTTTGAAAAACTTACTTAGTTGTATCCATTTTTATGAGATCGAATTGTGTAAGATAACCTTTATTCACGCACGTTTCTCGACTATTTAAATTTTGTCGCACGGTACAGAAACGAATGGAGCAGCTCGTCTGTCATCAATAGTACAGTTTCCTTCAAACTCTTTTTATTGCTACAATGTATGGCCAGCGGTGTGTATGTGTGCGTCCAGTGCGAAAACCTCGATTGAGTGTTTGTGTTTTATTTTTTTTTTTTTCACTACGTTGCTGGTGTCGTTTTAGTGCGTACTCAACCCAAAAAATGAACCAAGAGAAGAATGATGTGATCTATTATTATGTGTCTTGTAATGAATGATGAGACAAAACCAATCGGGCCGATCAATCAGTCGAAAAAATTAAAATAACGCAATGAGCGCCGTGTGTTCCATTGAATAGCTCAATGGTTGCAATGTAGATTCGTTTGAAATTTGATTTGTCTATTGGTTGTGTTTGAGTGTGTAATCATGGTCGGTCATTTCACATTGGTGTGACAAAAATGAAACACATCGGTTATTTTAAACAATTGAGCCGGGAAAAAAATCTGCCGATATCAAATAAACATATGCGGAACAAGAAGTAACATGAAAAAGTCGTCGGTTTGATTATGCGTGTTACGTTTGATATCAAACGGCCGAGATAGCATTTGAGTTTTATATTTCAGTCAATTCGTCTAGCGAATGAAAATTAGCGGTTGTGACTACGAATTCATTATAAAAAAAATGCCGGTAAGTTCTTCCAAAATGAACAGAAACATCATGAAACCGCGATAAAATTGAGCAGAAACATCGATTTTATCATAGGCATCATTCATATCACCGCAAATGATAATTTATATCTTAGTCTTTAGAACTGTCAAATCAAACAATACGTGCGGCATAAGCCGTAAGTTCTGATCTACGTACATGCTAGCTAGGCTAACGTTGCGCTTCACTTAACGCAATACGAATTTGGTGCAGTTGAAAACAAGCACACCAACACACACTGAGATTTTTTATGTTTTGCTTTTAATACAGCTACAATAAGATTTTTACCACATTTTGTCGTATTACACTTTTTGTTTTTTTTTATGCAATCACGATATGTTTCATTCATGGATAAATTCGCGAGTTTTTGCCGAATATGGCATAATTTCAAACGTAAAAAACAACAATGGTTCTACTACAACGGGTAAGACACTATTTCAGACACACATGGTTTTTTTTCTTGCATCCTGTTTTGTTATTGGTGTGAACAAAAACAAGTCAAAGGAGTTCAACGGTGTCTTATTTTGTAAAACTGGCAACTACCTACTAATTTGTAAATAATTCCCGTTTCCAAAACAGCCGGTGATTACACGAAATACGACAATTTTCAATCAACAATATCAACAACAGTCTTAGCATGTCAATTACCCACCTTCTTCTTGGACAAGAATTTGTTTTAAGCAATGATCGATTTCGAAATTAAAACGACAACAACACACAATCAAATTTGTCATCATTGATTGATTAGAGCATGCAAACAATTAGAATTCATTTGTAATCGAACACTATATCGACGCAAAATCGAAACCGAATTCGATTTTCTCGTCGTAGGAATTTCTTTTTTGTATTAAATTTGATTAAAAGTATCTTGAACACATTCATTGTAATAAAATCCAGGACAAGTGTTTAAATATAGACGATTTGAATGAACATGCGACTTTGTGAATGAAAATGCGATTGACATAAATCAGAGAACAACCAAATCCATTGTTTAGAAGTGTCAAAAATGTGTCTAATTTGAAGTTCGAATAATTTATTTTGTCAAATTTTTGTTTTCGCACACTTTTTTGTTTATAACTTTACAATCACACTACATAGACAAATATTGCCAAAGACAAAAATAAAGAGAAAACATTGACAAATAAAAATTTTCCTTGAAGCAATGTGATCCGATGTACGGTTTACGTTCTACAGGTGTTCAAATGTTGCCCGTCTAGAGGCGGTTGTATGCATTAAAGGGTCAATTGATCTATATCACATTGTTTCGTTACTCGAATATTTTTTCGTGTGTTTCATTTCAATTCCCGAGCTATCGATGACGTCACTCGCATTTATCATATGATGCAAATTAAGTGATAAGGAGCGCGAATTTCGATGTGTCCAAGAAAAAAGAGTGTGTAGTTTAGAGCAATGTAATCTTTTTATTTACAACTAACGGCATGTTTATCGAACCAACGTTTCGAACAATATTTTTTCCAACATTTTACACATCTGTAACGACGCGATTTCTGACATTTTCGTTCAAAAAACTTCAATGCATTGGAAGGAAAATTATAATCCTTTTCGGATCCATTCTTTCGGATCAGATGACAGTGTGCTGTGGGACATAGTCCAAGTATTTGCAAAAAGGATACTTGATCATGTGTCTTCAAGTGTCTTTTGAGATTTGAGCTATTCAAATACACTCTCGCACAAATTGAACACTTGGGCCGCACATACATTGATGTATGAGATGTTTCCTTGTGTTGTTGTAACCCAAACTTTGATCGGAAATCTCGTCCACAGACATCGCATTGAAATTCAATAGGTTGTTGTTGTATTTGTATCTCTTTAGCTGCAAAATAGCATTTTAGTCCAACGTCAATTGCATCGTTACGCACTACATCATCGCAATCGATAATATTCTGGACAGGCCGTTGTAGTGTAAGTCGATTCGTATCAGTTGAGTAGACTTGTTGATGCAATTTTATCCTTCGCAATTCCGTATAATAGTTGATTCCAAACTGAATGGCCTAAAAATGAGAATTGATTTAGCAAATAGTACATAGCCGCTGACTTTAATACTTTGTGTAAAGGTTAACGTTTCTTCTTTGGGAACACCAATGCTCAACAATTGAATTAATTGAATAATTGGATGAGTTCTTTTTTTAAAGTAATAATGAGTATAAAAAATAGAAAAATAATACATGCCTGATCATAAATTGTCGTCATTTTCTTTCAAACGCAAGATTTGGACCTTATTCAATCGAATTCCATTTCAATACTAACTACAAAAGTAGCATCAGCAAAGGTACCTTAATGTGCTGCTGCTTCATGCTCCTAACGGTTCTGAATAATCGTTTTTAGTATGAGCCCTTGAAAACCACCGATAGTCAATTGAAGCGTTTGGTCAGGTTCATATTGAAATTTGTAAAATGTGCAGAAAAATCTTTCTAACTGTAAAAATAAAATTTATACTGACGCCAGATTCATTCATGTTAGGGTTCATATTATGTGTATCTACAAATCGTATCTCGCCCGTCTGAACTGTGCATAAAAGAGAGAGAGAGAGAATTCAAACATTTTGACATCATTACTTTTAATTCCGTTCGAAATGAATTCGCTTTGTTTGTCCGTGAATATTGTTGCTAAATTCCAAAAAAATCTCTAAACACAATTTTTTCAGAAATTGTATCGCTATGATGTAATTGCATGAAATTTGAGGAATTAGGCTTGACATCCGAAATCGACGATGGTTTTGCTGAAGAATTTACGAATCAGTGGATTGTTGTGTTTTTTCTTTACTTGAAGCACTTGATGAAAAAGAAAATTGAAATAGTAATTGATTAAATTGCAGCACAATTACAAAATTTCTGTAGATAACATGTTATCAACGCGGAAAATCTAGTTGATTTTATCAGTGTTTTGATTCTAAATAACGTCTTTTTTTAGAAATAAAGCAGCGGAAATTTAAAATGTCATGCATTCATCTGATAAAGCAATTCGATTTGTAAACATTCCTCTTGTCAAGTTGCATGTTCATTCCGAAGCCATAAATTGAAATATACTGAATGCTACGCTGAATAGTCTATAGTTGATCGTTACCAGTGAAAGATCAAAAGTTAGAAATGAGTTTCGACGGTAAAATTGTTTTAATCACGGGCGCGAGTTCCTGAATAGGTGCTCATGCAGCAGAGCACTTGGCGCAAAAGGGCGGAAGCATTGCCTTGGTTGGTCGCAATACAGAACGACTAAACGAAGTGGGTGATCGGATTAAAAATGCTGGTGCCCCAACACCACTCTTGATTGTGGCGGAAGTTTCATCTGAAGCAGAACGATTAATCACTGAAACGATAAAACATTTTGGCAAATTAGATATATTAATCAATAACGCTGGCATTTTGTCAAGAGATACCATTGAAACCGTTGATTTGGACGAGTATGAACGCATCATGAAAACAAATGTAACAAGCGTTATTAAACTGTCCAAGCTGGCTGTTCCATATTTGGAGAAGACAAAAGGAAACATTCTTAACGTATCATCTTCGGCCGGATTACGTGTAAAAACAAATCTATTCTCATACTGCATCTCAAAATATGCATGCAATGCCATTACAAAGAGCACAGCATTGGATTTGGCACCAAAAGGTAATCTAAATAATAGAAGAAATGTTTAATTGAGCTCGCATTAAAACAAAAATTCTGATTTACTTTTAAATATATTGGCTTGAAAGTAATCGTTGTTAAATGATTTTTGAAGGCATCCGAGTAAACGCTATCAATCCATGTGTTATCAAAACCGGGATACTCACATCGGGCTTTCGACTTTCTTCAGAACAAGCTGATGAATTTGTAGACAGTCTCAAGGATGTTTATCCCGTTGGTAGAGCCGGCGAATGCACCGATACATCGGCAGCCATAGAGTATTTGATTAGCGATTCCGCATCTTTTCTTACTGGAATACTATTGCCTGTGGATGGTGGAGAGATGACAAAGTTTCACATCTGAATGCATAGAAAAAATTGTATGAGGAAAATTTCGAATGTGAATTGAATTGAAAAGAATAACACACAAAATATATAAATAAACTTTTGAAAGGATGAATTTAAAAAAGCGTGTATTTTGCATTTCTTCTGTTTTGAATATTTCATTATGAGCATGAGCTCTAGCACGTAGTGCTTTCGTCAACCGTTTGGGGTCGCTACTGATATGCGTTTATCTTTCCACACATCAGAAGTGTCATTGTCACTTTGACAAGAGCCCGTACACTACTGAAATCACATAGACTTGTGAACGACTTGGTTTTGGTTATTTTATAAAATTTCGGATTTTCAACCAACATAATGGCCCAGGTTGCAAAGCGAGATATTGGATTTTTGACGAAAATTTTTAGAAATGTCATCTTAGGCGTAAGTAAAATTGGCAATTCACTTTTTGGCATATTTAATAAATCAAGTCGCACATTAGAATCATTTGTTTTGAGTTATATAAGTTTGAGAGTGACAACATTGCTATCCTGTACTACTGCCAAATAACACAAGTTATTCTCTTCATTTTGTTATCTAGCGTGATCATAATTTGGCATTGAGATTCGAACCTGAATGTTCAGCACGTGATCAACCACCGCCAAATATTCCCGATGGCCCAGCACACAAGTACGTTTTGTTTACATATTCTGTCCGTGTCATCACATTGAATTAAATCAACATCCCTTCCTTGTATCCTTTCAGATTATCAGCAAATTACTATGAAAGCCGTGATCCCCGACGAGAAGTTGCTCCACCAATTGATCTAACACAAAATTTGCTTGGCTCCGGGTATGTTATCTATGGATGTCAGTCGACCAAAAATAAAATACCAGTCTTTTCCATTGTCTTTTATGTAAAGCAACTATTTGAGTTTTCTCTTTCATTATTGATCTTTATTTTGTCTCGTTTCAGTGAATCGGGTGTTGCTGAAACCGGAACACGAATTGCAGGAGTTCCTACACCTGGCAAAACTTATCAATGGGACTAAATGTTATGTCATTTCCTTTCCGATTCATGTGAATATAGTAAACTGATGAATGTGAAATATTGAAATAAATGAATTTCTTATTTAAACACAGCGCTGTTTTTCAATGACCACTGCAAAAGAGTGTGAATTTCATTAAGTTTGTCTGTTTATTGGTCTTTTTGATACAATCAATGGCTTTGATTGGACTTACAAACTTGATTCAAACTGCAAACTAGCCACTAATTTTCTTAGAAAATCACCGTCAATTCGGCCTGGCCACACGTTTTTCACACGATGGTAATGTTACTTTTAAGAAAAAAGATGCGCCGCCAACTGGGATTGGGATCAAACCTTCGAACCAGTTTATTCGAGAATGAACAGAAAAATTATTTTCTTCGATTCTAGCTTCAACTTCACCGCTCAATGACTGCTGTGTGACTGAGCAGCTAATTCTCCACTTCATACGCTATTCACGTCGATGTATTGACCTTGCACTATCTCAAATGGTTTTCGGAATACACAGCCACACTTCAATCTGTTCTATTAAAATTTCCTGGAAATCCATTCATTCTTATCGCTTCGTTCGTTTGGAAGGGGCAAAGTAAGAAAGAAAACAGCAAAGCAAACGTGTCAATATGTTCTACATCGCGAGCGAAGCACGATTTGAAGTGGTTATTAATAAATTTATCAGACGCTATAGCGCATTAGTCAAAATCAACTTCAATGTAAATGTTCCGATGAAGCAATATTTTTTTTCCTTGATATTAACTGATATTGATTCTAGTTGGATTCACAACATTAAGGTGCCAAATTCTACTTTTTATGGGTATGCAGCCAGTTTTTTGTATTGATTAACTTTTTGGTCGGCCGTTTTAATTTATTGGCCAGCTATAAAAGTTTTATTACTTTTGAGTGATTGGAAATCAAATTAAAGAAAAACGCACACAAGTTTCGGTTTAAAT